TTTCTGTAATGTAAATTAACCGCAAAAAAAAAAAAAAAAAAAAAAAAAAAAAAAAAAAAAAAAAANAAAAAAAAAAAAAAAAAAAAAAAAAAAAAAACACAAAAAGTGGTGAGGAGAGAAGCAAGTTTTTTTTATAAAAAATCACTACATTGTAAAACACCGTTTGTTCATGAACCGAAATATCCCAATTCTTTGTTTATCTAAAAAAATCATATTTATAGTTCTATAAGGTATGTAGCACGACGAACCTATTGGAAGGTTTTTCAAACATGCACACATATTCTCCTATTCACAAATACTTTTGCTTGGATATGTTTTTTCATACATGGACGAATATGCTGTTTTTTATTAACATATATATTTTTTTATATATTTTAAATCGTGGTTGGTTGACAATCTGAAGATGTCTCCCAAACAAAAATTGTTTGAATTGGTTTTTTACATAACATATATTCTTTTACAAAGGTTTTACAGTTAACTTAAAAATGGATAAACTAGTTTTCGCAGAGTTTGGTTTTTACAAAGCTGTTAAAAACGACTTATAGTTCTATAAATGAGTATTCATTGAAACTGTTTTTCGTTTACATCTTTCGATTTCGCATTGCAGTCCTTAAAGATTGTCTTGCTTGAGTTATGTTTTTGCCAATCTACTGAGAACGACTTATAGTCTTATAATGTGCTCTTTGCTCGAAAGAGTTTTCTTGCACATTTTGAAAATCGCTGGACTTTTTGCCTGTTTTTTTACCTCCTTTCTTGGGAAACAGTTAAAAACGTTCTCTTTTATGTGTCAAAAATAACAGTTTGACTTCTATTTTTTTGTTCTATAAAAAATGTTAGTTTTTTTTTAGGTTTTCACGAATTCAGTGTTCATAAGACATTTTCATGTAAGAGTTTTGGAAAATATCTATCACTGGAACATGTCATACACGATCTATGAAATTGACTATAGGGACAAAACCAACAACTTGAAGGAGTCACCCAAAAACTATGAGATGGCTTAGCACTAAAATGCCCTCGAGCTTTCTCATTTCCCACTTATCTCATTCAGTACCCTATAGCACACAAAAAGTACTAGAGCCACCAACTCCTTCACCAGTAATGACACTTGGCGTACTTTTGAAAACCTTTGAAAAGTTATCCCACTTGTTACTATTCTTACTTGATGTTAAACAACATGTCATTTGATTACCAATTTGTCATCCAGGGACACAATATTTTTGCATTGGTCATGCTAATCCAAAAGCAGAAAAAACAAAAATTTTGAAAATTATATTTTGAAACTATTAATGATAAAAGCGTGCTCTAAATGAGACAGTTTCTTTGTATCTGTATGTTTAAGACTTACCTGACAAGCATGTAATGCATGACCTTGCACCACATACACCATAGGTCCAACTAAATGTGAAGGGCAACAACTGATGATTTTATTCAAGACATGCAATTTCCGGTTGCGACGAAATTTCCCCTCATAGGGGTTGACCAAGGGTTGGTCCTCCAATTAACCCTTTTTCATAACAGGTAGTGGTCCTCATCTTGAGTTCCTCAATTTTGATGTCTCCAGAGTGTGGAGTTAAAAAAAAATAGATAAGTTGTGTTTATATTGTTGATGGCTACTGTAGTTTATCATTCGGTATCAATCGACGGAACAATTCCTTTGGTAGTATCACAATCATCCATTACATTACAAAATTAATAGTTAACGAGAGTAAAGCAATACCTTCAAGTCATAAAATGGGTATGGGTCATCCACCTTCCACACTATAAGCAAGCAGTTGTTAAAGCAAATACCTTGACAAAAATATAATTTTGTGCTTTGTACATGCCGCACAAAGGATGAAAAAACATTTTGTTTGAGTGTTGTGAGCAATGAAACATCTATAAGTGATTATTTATGAGTTTCGACCGCACAAATGCACCTCTGATCAAGTTCACCAGCCCGTACGTACGGAGGTCCCTGGACAGACCTCCGTACGTAAGGGCGTTCGGGGTCCCGTACGGGGTCCAAACCCGACGGCGTTTGTCCCCCGCCAAAAATTATTTCGGGGCCTGAACTTAATTATTTTCTTTCTGCATTTTTTTTGTGAGTTCTCTATAACGTGAGGTACATGCCTGTAAATTTTCAAGTCATTTGGCTTAGCCAAATAAGAATTAAAAATCGCCAAAGATGGCGGTGTCAAAACGTGCTCGCCCACTTATTTTTTCACTTTTTACTTTTTGTTTTCACTTTAGTTCGGGGTCTAAACAATTTTATTATTTTTTGAAACTTTTTTAGTGGGTTTTGTGTTATGTGAAGTAAACATCTGTAAATTTTCAGGGCATTTAGCTATGCCAAAAAAAAAAAAAAAATCGCCAAAGATGGCGGTGTCGAAAACATGCTCGCGCACTCACTACATTTAATTCTCTTTTTATTTTTATTATTAGTATTTGTTTTTCGTATTTTATTTTTATTTCAAATTTGGTAAGGAATTAGGATGTAATGCTAAGGCAAATCTTGTTTAATTTATGTTTCTCCATAACATATCTTGTTTTCAGATTTTTCTAATTAACTTTT